CTTTTAAATATTAAATTTTCATTCATTTCATTGGAAACAAGGTTCTTTGAATATTCAGGCTCATTTTGTTTACTACTACTTGGTGGTAATTCTGAAGGTGTAAAAGGTTCAGTGCTTGATTTGCTATTTACTTTGGATATTAGATCGTCAACAAGGTAAGTAAGACGCCTTATTTCAGCACTATGTTGTTCAGACATTAAATCCAAATTTCTTATAGCATTACTTAAATCTTCTTGGTCTTGTAAACGTGCATCTTCTTTGGCTTGTTCTTTGCGTACTTGTCTATTATATTCAAACAATAGTAAAACAGCAGCAACAAAAAATATAATACCTTCACCTAATAGATTCGATCCAAGTTCAATGGCCATGGTTTCACTCAAAGGCTTGACCTTGCCAGCAGTACCGAGATTCATGAAGTACATTTTCATTTTAACTTCGCACCAATTGTAAAATTGAGCAGGTGGCATACACACGTATGATCGAAATACAGGAGACTGTTTCGCTCGTTCTTTGACAAAATTAGCAATAGGTTTACTTACTTGACGCAGAAGTAAAGCGCCGAGTTTGGCGGCCGGAAAAGCTCCGAGAGCTACCATAATGGTTTACAGTTCGGGATTGTATTTATTTCAACTGAAATTGTAGTCACAGACATTATACGAAAATTGAAAGGTTAAACATTTTAGAATCAAACTGACAAGACAATGTTTAAAAAATTATGACTTTGATAAGCAACATTCGTTATCATAAGAATGAATTTGGGAAAAAAAATATGCTGATATATTATTCACACGAATAACAAAAAGAATACTGCTATATAAATAAATGGTAACAACTAATATAGTAAGTACAAATTCTCATAAATTGTAAATTTAATGATCAAGAATAAATGCATTAAAATAGTACTGCCGACAACGATAATATGGTATATTTGGGTTAACTTTTTACTATATTTAAAAACGAAATATTTAAAGAATATAATCAATTAAAAAGTTATTTATATATTCTGAGATATAATATCATACTATAATAATAAAACCAAAACGATGACTAGAGAACATATGATTATACTTTTTTTTTTATTTAATTCAACTATAGTAAGTATATTTCATTTTAACATTCTAAGGCATTTTTAATGTATTTATAATGATCAACTCAATATTCACGACTAGATATTGTCTTTTTAAAAATATACTAGTTTTATAGCCTCAATCATTATGACCAGCATGTAATATAACTACAATTTATATATATCGCTACACTAATTATAATACCACCACAGATTATATGAATAAGTTTTAAATTGTTGAAAGACCTTTGGGTTCCTCCAAAAAATATGACTTAAAAAAATATTTGACCAACAACTCTACGAGAGTATTTCGTATAGAATGGTTTGCACTTTAATCATAGTTAAGTAAATTACTCAACTGTTTTTAAAGACCCTATTTCTAAAGATCTTACGTCGGTTCCTCAATAAATCGTAATTTTTTTCACTATCAAAAAAAAAAAATAAAAAAAAATTAAATAATTTCTAATAGAAATCGAAGAAAAAATCTATGAGACCGCTGACCACCAATGACTGGCCTACGGACCACCTGTTGGGAAACACTGCCTTAAACCAACTCCTTGACAACTTTCAAATAAAACAATATCAACTAACATTTTCATGTATTTTTTATTACTTTCAACCATCAATGAATGCTGAGAAGATATTTGAACACTGCCAGTTTCTTTTGTTTTCTGATATGCTGATCATATCATCATTTAACCATACATGTAAGATGTAAATTACTTTAAGCATGTGCGTCCAATTTATTGATTTACTTTTATTCCCACCTTTAGATCCACTACAAATACTCAACTATAAATTATAATATACTTATATTAATAATTATAGTTAAAAATTATAAATAAAGTATAAATACAAAGCACATGCTTTTTTTTCCAATTTCTAAAACCAACTAAAAAGCTATCTTCAAAATTGCCACTATTTCCAGTACTAAAATTTCTACAAGAATAGTAAGAAATTGAATTTTTTGATATACTATATTCAAGCTATTCATATGTTTTGTAATGTTTGATTGAAAGCGCGATTTTGTGTACCAAATTTAGTTAGTGGATATGACTGCAATATATTTAATTTAAATATAATATAATAACTTAAAACATTGTTTAGTGTTTACCTACATTTGTATTTATTGTTAAAATTGGTCACATAGGGACTGTTATTAAAGTTCCCAAGTCAAAAATGACATTTTTATCTATAATATTTTCAACACTTTTTTGTGTAGTTATATCAATGTCTAAACCAATATTTAAATCTTCATTTTCAGATTCTAGTGTTGTTGTTGACGAGGAATTGGTAACAACTAATTTTTGTTTTTTAATGTTAAATACATCAAACATTCTTTTAGCTATTATTGAATTAATTACAAATTATAATTTATAAATAATTGATTAGTTTAGATGAATTCAAACACAATTCACACAAATAATATAAAATTATATTGTTTATTTGTTTAGCACGTCATTTACGGAAAACCACGCATAGGTTTTAAAAAATAAAAAAATAAAAATAAAGGCGATTACCGTATACACTCCAAAAACGTAATCGACACTAATTCAGGGGCGGTCTGCAGCTTGCGTGTTTATAACTTTACAGATATCGCAAACAAGTTTTAGAATATATACCTACTAAATATGATTTTCCCAACAACGATAAGCTGTGAATATTCCAGACCATTCTCGTATCCCAACAAAATAAAATAAAAATTATGAATATCAAATATTGAAACACATATTTTTTTATTTTGACGTTTACATTCTGGGGGGGGGGCTTAAGCGCCCCCGATAAAGCCTATGTTGAGTACATAGAGTTGTTCAAGGAGCATTAATTGGTTTTCCATACATAATATATCAAAAATTTAATGAGGTTTCAAAAACTCATGAAATTAGTATTTGGCATAAAGACGCAATTTTTAAGCTCAAAAGAGAGAAAATAATTGAGTGTTCATGAGCAAATAGATTTGTTATTTCGTAGAGAAATTGGAGAAAACAAGTGTGAACCTTCGATCTATCCTATTGTTCTATTGTTAATCTTGTTTTGTGCAAAGCGGGATCTTCCACTACAAGGTAAAAATGATGAAAGTTCCGTTTTTACGGATTTATTACAATTCCGTGTCGAATTTCAACTTTTCAAGTTTTGAATAAGCATTTAAAGTTTGGAGCTGAAAATTCATTGTATATCACACATGAAATGTTAACTTGTTCTTATGCGATTCGACAAAATATTATTGAAGAAGTGAATCGTTCATCAGTTTCTTCAGTCTTAGCTGTCGAGGTTGCCGATATAAGTGACACCGAACAATTATCAATTGGTGTTCGATATCTGCTTTACGACGTTAAAAGAACAATAGTTGTGAAGAATTTCTTGGTTACTCGCCTCTTTCAAAACTAGATTCTAAATCCATTGTAAAAATAATCATTGCATTTTAGAAATCTATAATTTAGATCTGAATCTATTTGTGGGCCAAGGATATGATGAGTGTGCTACAATAGCTAGACATGTAAGTGGAGTTCAAAAAGGAATTAATGAAGCTTATCCTATGGCACTATTCTTCCGTTGTGCCAGTCACGTATTGAATCTTGTATTTAATGATTTAAACAGTGTTGTTAGGTTAAAAAGATAATTATATACTTAAATGAAAAACAAAATAAATTTAATAAACAATTAAAATTAATCTGCGTAGCGTTAAGTTCTTAATATCACCAATAATGTTTTAGGGATTTTAATTTATAGCCTTGTTCTGTAGTTGATAGCTATTTAATCTCGCTTGAATTATTGAACTTCTTAATTTCATTAACACATTAAATCATTATTATAGCATATGATTTGTGTTTCAAAAATAAATTACACGGTTTGGAACTGAATATAAAAAATATAATAAAAATCATAATGTAATAAAAAAGCACGTAACATATATAAGACCAAATATGTCATAATTTTTATTTTTTTTTTTAATTTTAGAAAGAAGGCTCTATGTTTAGGGTATGCAGTTACATACCCAACATACCCCCTGCGAACGCCTATGCCCAATATTCTTCTACTTCGGGAAACACGTTGGTCAGGGAAATATAAAAGTATTAGAATTTTTACTGACAATTTTCTTGTTATTTTCAAAATATTGAAAAAGTTATCAAAAAGTACAGCAAATTCAAAGACCAAAATAAAATCCTATTAACTCTTTGCGGTTGTTTTTAATGTTACACTGCAAGTAATCACTGTTTATTCTGCTAAATTTGAACCAGTATGTTATCAACTTCAACAATAAATACAATTATATTTTTTTTTTTTTGAAAAGCCAAGGAATACAATTTTACTCCTTTGTAAGGACATAAAAATGCAAAATCTGTTAAACGTAACTTGTACGCATATCATCATTACAGTGTCATTATCTTACAAAAATGTTTTCCTGCTAAGATCCATTCCTGGGTATTAAAAAAGTGTATTTTTTAAAACTATAACTTCGTGGCAATAGTTGTTTTATATATCTGTAATTACAACACGGAAAATAAAGTTTTTCGTTACTAACATCAGATAAGTACTATAAAAAAAGACCAAACAGTTAAATATTTAATCCGTTATTCCAACACCGAATTACAATCACTTTGCTTCACTATCATAACTGTTTGTGATAACGATACGTAGGTTATGTTTATTTGTTCTTGTTATTTATATTTAGATGTTTTTTTTTTTTTGTGATGAATGTTGTCGCTTTATCGTCTGTAACTTAATTATTTTTGATCAAATTTATTTAGAAAAAAATAAGTAAAATTAAAAACAAAGATAAATACTGTGATTATAATAATAGAAAAAAATATGGTTCATGTCTCTAAGGGAACATTAATTACATGGTAAGTGGACTACAGTTGCATAATAATTACCGTTCATCAACTCTTGCAGAGTGCGCATCATTCTAGGTAGTCCAAGTCTGATGGTATTCCGAACTGTTTGTCAATGATACTGTCTTCAATGAAAAATTTCCTCTTGCACCATGACTTCACTGAAAATACGTTGTCTGTCCAACGATTACCTGCTTCTTTAGCCACCTATGTGTAACAGATATTGGTGTTAACAGATTTTAATTTCACATCAAATATTAAATGTTCTACATAAACCAAATTAAGGTGGTACTCTACGTACCACTATACTTTTCTTCATACGTTCGTATTCTGCCGGGTTGGAATCTTGGTATTTTTTTAATTCGTTATCCAATTTCAATTTTTCCTCTTCAAGATCTTTAATCTTATCTAAAAGAGTTTTCCTTTCATTTGTTACATCTTTTCCTACTTTTTCTTTCTCAATTATTTCCAAGTTTTTATTTAATTTTTTTTGATATTCGTCCAACTGCATTTTGGCATTATCTAGTGCATTTTTCTTGGAAATTTTTGTCTTGCTATACATTTGAAATAATTAAAAAAAAATTAACTATGCAATTACATAACAACTTACCTTGGAAAAGACCAAAAATATACAGATGTTCCAATTTTGTCTGTATCCACTAGTCCGTCATCTACCAAATTTTGAACTACATCTTTTACTGCTTGTACTATAATTTGTTTTTCTTTTGGTGCAATTTTTTCCAATTCCTAAATGGTTAAATATTATTTAGGATATTAAGTTATTATTATATAGGTAATAAAATCATCAATATCTTGAAAATATACATTTGTTCTTGCTAATTTTTTTCAATTCTTGATGTCAATAATAAAATTTCATATATCAGTGTTAAAATGATAATAGAAACTTGTTGAGAATATTTTATTGCCAACAACAAGTATATATTTTTCATGAAGAATTAAAAATATTCTTCATGATGTTATAATTAAAAATAATGAATTTATGTATATTTACTTTGAGCTGGTAAAATTCTTTCTTTTCATGAAATAAATTCAACATTCTAATACGCTTTTCCTCTGCACTAACTTGTTTTCTTTTAGACATTTTTCTTTAAATTCTATAACAATGAAATAAAATATTTATTTTTTTTTTAAGTGATCAGTCAATGAAACAATTTTTATTACAATTGGATCAAACTAATGCTCTCGGAAAGAAGTTCATCCTACAAGAATTAGATGAAGAACATTTATTTGTATCATCTGATGTGTTGGAAACTTTAGAAGATCGTGTTGATGAATTAATGGACCAACTAACTTTTACTCAGAATTAAAATTTTTTGTACTGACCACCTATTAAAAATGGCATCGAAAACATTATTAGGAAGGGAATCAGGAAGGATAAAAGATGCAGATAAGAAAAAAGTACTTGATGCAGCAACCAGAAATCGGCGGGTACGTCGTGCTCTGGAGAGTTTGGAAATGGATAACTATCAACAGGATCCACATGCTGATATTGTTTTGAATAAAAAAGCTCCTAAATTTTTAGATACTATAGAGTCTAAAGGGGGGCGACGGAAAAAAGAGAAGAGTGCTGAATATTATAAACAAAAGTAATAATATAATTAAATACCATCAATATTTTATATGTTATTGTAATTATTATATTCAAAGTAAATAAATTCAATTTTAATAATTTGTTAGATTTAGAAGAACATTTGAACAATTAATTGAAGCTGATCAGTTTAACAATCGAGATCCACCAAATTATATCTCAATAGAAGCACCTTCATCAGATTTGCCACGCCGTATATTTTGTGCTGTTTGTGGGTTCCGAAGTTCTTACACATGTACGACATGTGGTGCACGTTATTGCTGTATTTCATGTTTAGACACTCACCAGGCAACAAGGTGTCTTAAATGGGCTGTTTAGATTACCTTTAAATTATATGATTTCCTAAATATTGTGTACATAGTTTTATATTCTAATATACTTAACTTATTTTATTGTATCATTAGTAAAAATCTTTTAAGTATATTCTTAAATATAAAATACCCATTGAAGGCAATTTTTTAACGTTTTTCAGATAATTAATTTAAACCATTTTCTTTTAAATGTTTTTATTATTATTATTATTATTATTATAATAGGGCCTGCCACAATAAAAAAAAAAAATTATGGTAATTGAATTAAAAATAAAAAGTTGTATAATTATTATCTAATAATAATAAAATTAATATGTTGATTTTAAATTGATAATTATAGAGTATATATTTAAATCAATGTGAAAAACCATATAACTTAATTGTTTTAGTATTCTAAAATCTATGTGTATGAATTTTTATGCTTATGAGTCATATATTGTATAAAATAATATTTTAGAATTTTAATGTATAAAAACAAATATTCTCAACAAAAAATGTAAAACAATAATTTATTAGAATTTAAGAAATGTATTTAATTTAGTGCATTTTAAGATTAAACATGATAAAATAAATGTAAATAGATTAAAAAATAATTTAGTAATTGAGAGTTACTACTTATCAAATGTTTCATTAACTCTTCTTGACATAACTGTGTTAATTTAATAGCCATAGCTAAGATTAAATTAAAAAACAAAATAAGGCTAATGAAAAAATATTATTTTTTCCTAAGTAATAACAATAATTTCCTTTAAGAGATACATTTTACATTTAAGTCATAATAAGAAAATAAGAACTAAAGCAAATTGATGGTATTCATAAATAAACAAAAATTAAAATATACTTGATTTATTTTAATTAGTACCTACATTTTATTTTAAAATCTACAGAAAAAATTATTATAACAATCATAAACAAATAATAACTACGAGTAGTAAATAAAATTACTCTATCAATAAAATATTGTAGCATCATTCATTCTTATAACTAAATAATGTTTTTCAAGTTGAAATGGTAAATGAAAAGTTAACTGAAAACACTACATTTATTATGATGAATGAAATCAAAACAATATAAAAAAAAATATATGTTTATTTAAAGTGTTAAACATATTCCTCATTCATAATAGTTCTTATTGAAGTAAAATATTGA